CAAAAGATTGGCTTAGAGCTTGCGCATCTTAATCTTTTCGAGGACTCTAAGGCAAGTCGTGACCTTTTTGCGGACAGCTTTTATGCAAAACCTTGAAATCAGATAAGTGACAAGAAACATGTGCACATGCGTGATAAGAGTGAAAAAGGTATGACAGTTATGACTGTCCTATGGGAAGTCACGAATCGCGAATCTCGATACCAAGTTATGATCTAGAACGTGTCCTTTTATTTTCAAGTGTCTAGGCTTTCCATGATTTACTAATGCCTCATGCCATAAAGTTTTGCCCAACATGCACTAGTCTTTTGCTGGTGAGAACAAATATTTCATTAAAGTGTCGCCCATCATTTTAGAATGTCTACTATGTCCATGCTAATGGACAAGAATTGCCAAAAGGTGAAGGGTAGCAACGGTGTGGCAGACACCGTGCACGAAGCTTGGACGCCACTTGAGTCGTAGCCGACGATTTAAATATGTAGTGAGGGGCAGAGAAGTGATGGAAGGAGACTCACCAATGGACAGCACTGAGGTAGCGAGTGTCGACCTCTGTTGTGGATGATGACCTCGAACGATTTGGCGCACTCGTGAGGGTATTCGAGTTTTTCGATCGTGATAGCCATGTGATGTATAATTTCTCCTTTTCCGAATATATCCTAGTTTTTCCGGCTTGAAGGACATCGCCAAAAACTGGATAGGATAATTTGTTATTTCATCTGAATTTAAATCTGAATTGTCAAATACGGCCTTATCCGCCAAGCCAAGTCCATTTTCCAAGTGGTGAGAGTCAGCTCAATGACTGGAGCATTTATTATTATTGTTTTTGGTCATAAGTGTAGCACCCCATTCTTGGGATAGCGCCCCATTATTTATCGAAAGAATAGTTTACTTTCCTACATTTTATGATACCACTTTAGAAAGCACTTTAAAAGATGGAGATTTGAATCATTTTCATTGGGGAAATAATTATAAAAAAAATTGATTTGCCCCTTTTAGATTAATTACACATATCATTACTGTGCAATTTGGAGGCTTCGATTAAGCCACGTCACCAAAGCACCGTGAAAACCACCAAATACCCAAATTAATCTATCAATTGTGTCTTTCCTGTCTCTTTCACTAAAGAGTTTCGACACTTGCTATTGTCCCTTCCCCACCCACCACCCATCTCTAAGTACACATATGAATAAGTTATTATTTACACATACCTAATGTTAACAACCTCGGATAGACCATTATCGACCTCGGATAGCAGTTCAGACAATCCACCAACATATTAGATAAAAAGTACCCTTGAATTAAGGGAAAATTGTCCAAAAAGTCATAAACTTATTATACGGCGGTTAATTCAATTCTAAATATTTTAATTATGCCAATTTAGTCATAAACCGTTTGACAATTGCCAATTTAGTCCTAAATCTTTCCACTATGTCAATTTAGTCCAAAACCTTTTGATGATTTGTCAATTCAGTCCTGAAACTTTTGACGATTTTCCAGTGTAGTCCTTCCGGCTAATTATACAAATATAGGTTTATAACCAAATTGGCATAATTGAACAGTTTAAGACCCAATTGGCCGGCGCACAATAAATTTAGGACTTTTTGGACAATTATCCCCTTGAATCAGTCATTGTATAATTGGTACAGACCCGAAGTCAATGACCTTGAATTAACCATTGTCAATTTCGAACATGTGGTTTGGATGGCTCACCAACATATGAGTTGGGGGGAGAACTTGGAAATTGGGTTATTTCTTGTTTAGCATTTGGATTGTTTATATACTTAATGGTTACATGAAATTCAACCTTTTTGTATCGTTACATATTATATGTCATTCATTTCAAATGAGCATATTAAGTTTGTCAATTTGTCAATAAATGAGATGATTCCCGTCCTTAATAATGTATATATACATATTATGTGTCTTAGGCATATATACATATATCTAATTCCTCAATCATGGTATTTTTCTCCAACAGGTTGGGATGCTCCATGTCATATTTGCTGTTTATTTGTTCCAATATACAACGCATGAGAGAATTTTATAAGCTGAGAGCTCACAAATCGACATAGCAATATGTTATATCCCCATTCAATTTTTTATCTTTTTCTAAGCGTCCCTTCTATTTTCTCAATCATGGCCATGACATTATATTTCCAAGTCATTGGAAATATCTTTCTCATGCCTGCTATTTGCTAGACACGTATATGTTAGACAATAAGAAATGGGGAAAATTGTCCAAAAAATCCTAAACCTATTGCATTTTTGCCAATTAAATCATAAACCTTTCAATTTTGCCAATTCAGTTCTAAATTTTTTCACGTTTTGCCAATTGAGTCCACGCAGCTAATTTTGGCCGGAAATTACTGACGTGGATGCCAATTGCCCTATGTGGCACGGCCAACGCTAACTTAGACATTTAAATAATATTTTAATGATTTTTAGAATTTTTACGGTTTTTTTCCCTTTTCTTTACTATTTTTTCTGGGTTTTGGAGAAATGGCAACCCTCGCCGACTATAGGCAAGGGCATTGTGGCCCTCATTGGCCAAAGCGAGGGCGTGCGAGCCCTCACATGGCGAGGGCATTGCGGCCCTGGCCTTTGGCCGGCCATCCTTCCAAACAATAAAAAAAAGTAAAGAAAAGGGAAAAAAAGAAAAAAAATCATAAAAAAATTCAAAATATTATTAAAATGTCCACGTCAGCATTGGCCGGCGTCCTCGTCAGTAATTTTCGGCCAAAATTGACTGGATGGACTCAATTGGCAAATTGCCAAAATGTTTAAGACTCAATTAACAAAAATTTTCGGCCAAAAAAAAATTTAACAAAATTGAAAAGCTTAGGACTAAATTGGTAAAAGTGCAATAGATTTAAGACTTTTTGGATAATTTTCTCGCAAAACATGCTATACATGAGATAGAACCATTAAAGTAAATAAGGGTAGAGGAGCCACAAACTACAAATTATTGGTGAACATTTTAAACAAGTAAATGATTATCAACATTAATTCAGTCAGCCAAATCACTTGACACCTAAATTTTACAAATCAGTTATTGTATACCTAATATAGTTTTTTTTTAAAATTTTATGAATTCATCGTGTGAGCCATTAGATCCGTAGTCCCATCCACGAGGTAAAAGGAACCACTGAGAGCAAGTCGGGCTTACGAAGCTAAGAAACCCCTAATTGACGGAAAACTTGATGTGTGCATGTAGCTATAGTGTGCATAATGTATATGGACCATTTGCTTTGGTACATGTCAAATTGAATTTCATGCTTCAAATCGATTAGGTATATGCATCAGTAAACCGCATCTAAATTTTTCTAATAAAGAAGGTCATTGACTGGCTTTTTAAAAGCATTGAATGTGTTCAATCAGCCTCTATGTTCAATCCTTTCGAAGTCATTGGGTCCTTTTCCTTGTTCGAGAATCTCCTCCCTTCTTCCGCTCTGTCCCGAAGAGTAATTAGGACCAATTCAATTACGTTTTCTCAATTAGGTATATGTACCAAAAAACCGCATCTATCCTAGAAATTTTCCTAATAAAGAAGGTCAATAGTCAATGCCCTCAAATAGCTCTAGGAGGGCACTCAAAAGTAGGGTAGATGAGAATCTCAACGAGTAAGTAGACCAATCTTCTTTTTCCCTAGCTTTGCCCCTAAACTGCCTTGCCGCAAAGTGGAAACTCGTCGAGTGAAATTAACTCATTAGAATCCTCCCCTCAGAGAGAGTTGAAAGGTAGGTACACATGCATGTGTGCGCATGAAACATTCGCACGGATTCAGAGAGGATGTTGAATTTCAATGTGGTTTTCTTTATCGCTTTTGTTTAACTTTATATAAACAATTATTTTCATATACAAGTTTGCGAAAATTTTCTTTAATTACTTTATCATAGTAATTATTAGATAATAAACACTTATTTCTTAGAATGATCATTAATAATTGACACTAGTAAGAAGATGAGTTTTGATAAAAATGATTTTTTATTTATAAGTGATATTAGTATAATAATTAAGTTTTTGTGTCCTTAAAAAGATGAATATTCATATAATGAACTGCTAACTACAATTATTTCACCAGCACACTCGAGTATTTTTATCCAAGTCCATCACAAAAAAAAATTATAATTTATATGTCATGCAATGTTTTTTCCTACATGTAATTATAACAAACGTTAATTAAACATTTAAGACAAGTATGTTGAAGATTTTGCCCCCTCTCCACTAGATTTGAGGCTCATCACTACTAGTACTTTTCCTTAATATAAGCATCTTAGATGAAGTTTAAAGTTGAAAACTTTCTTTGAATTTGTATTATATTTAATACAGATCTAAATGAGTGAACTGATGATAGGTGTATTTAATACTGAGAATGAGTTATGTCATATCAACCAATGTTTTCAAGGCACAGTATGAGAAGCTTGCTTTTTTCCATTTAATTAAAAGCAAAAGCACTTTTAGATTCCCCGTTAAAATTTAACTTATTATTCAAATTTCATAAAATCATAAAAAAAAATTATATGTGGATTTACATGTCAATATTTGTTTTGGTCAGATACATGTCAATATTTGGATGCCATGAAAGTTTCGAGAGTTTAGGAGTTGAAAAAGAAAATCAATGTGTTAGTAACAAGATTTATAGTAAGCAAAAATAAAGTCAATTCAAACAAGTTTTTAAGTGTTTTGATGAAGAATTTTTTTTTTTGTACTAGACATTGATTACACGCATCACAAAACAACTGTCACTTTGAAAATTAAAAGTTGTGCCCTCTGGTTGTTTTTTTTCTGAAGACACTTTTAATTTGTGTATTATCTTAGATTAGAGAGGGTATGATCATGTAGCTTTTTGTCATAATGAATATACACAGGCATAAAGAATGTAGAGAAAATGCCCATGTCATATCAATAGCCAGATTCATTGTCAACTTGATCATGGGTATTGAATGAGCCAGCTCTGGCCTGCCATAAGCTGACACAAACTCTCTCTCTCTCTCTCTCTCTCTCTCTCTCTCTCTCTCTCTCTCCATCTAATATAGCAGTTAAGGCTGATCACTAAATGTGCAGATAGATGCTTCCCATGCTCTCTCAATCTCTCTCACTCAGCATGAGAGAGTGATAGCTTTTTTTTTCAACATATGAAAGCCCCCTCCCCCAAAGCTAGACCTTTTCAGCTTGACAAAAGGGTACAAAAAGAGAAAAACCATATTCTCAGACCCAACTTGCTTCCTCATCTTAAATCAAGAAGAATAACAAGAAGGAGAGAGGGAGAGAGAGAGTTTAATCATCCAGAGACTTCTTCCTAGAAAGGTGACCCCTTCTCTTAGCTGTTCAGCCATAGCCCTCGAAGCCTCCATACCCATAACATTTTGTCTCTTCCTCTCTTTCCCAATTCAATAGGTCCCTTTATATCTGCAAGTGAGCCAGGGAAACCTTTTGAGGAAAAAAGTACCGAGAGAGAGAGAGAGAGAGAGAGTGCAATACTAAGCTTGAAGAGAATGAAGATCCAATGTGACGTCTGCGGCAAAGAAGAAGCCACCATCTTTTGCGCTGCAGACGAAGCCGCACTCTGTGACGACTGTGATCGCCGAGTCCACCATGCCAACAAGCTCGCCAGTAAACACATGCGTTACTCTCTTCTCCATCCCACTTTCAAAGAGTCCCCTCTCTGTGACATCTGCCAGGTAAATACCATAAAACTTTCCTTGGTCCTTTTTTATTGGTTTTCAACAATAATAGATTCAATTTGAATGGCCCGTTTCGGAATTTGTCCTATTTTTGCACTAAATGATACAGAGTAAGTTTCAGAAAGTTGGTTACCTTTCATTTTTCTCCAGAAATTTGCATAGTGTCAGGTGCAGAACTCCATGGAAGCAGCTGCAGCGAAATTTAGACACTTCCTTTATGTTGAAAACACAACGCAGTGATAGTTCTTCCATTATTTTCAGTAATTTTATTCTCTTTTTTCAGGAGAGGCGAGCATTGCTTTTTTGCCAAGAAGACAGAGCAATCCTGTGCAGAGAATGTGATGTTCCCATTCACAGATCCAACGAGCACACCCAAAAGCACAACAGGTTTCTTCTAACCGGGGTCAAGCTCTCTGCTTCTTCATCCTCCAACCAAGCCTCATCGTCATCTAGTGCATTGAGCACAGACATGAAGAGCTCTAGATCCTCGGCAAAGAGACAGAATTGCCCACCGTCATCAGTGTCGACAGCCGAGAGAAGTTTGCCGTTGGGAGCTTACCAAGATGAGAATCATACAAGTGACGCCGGCTCGATCTCGACGAGCAGCATCTCGGAGTACTTGATGGAGACGTTGCCAGGGTGGCACGTGGACGAGTTTCTTGATCCTTCATCGACTGCTTCGAATGTTTATTGTAAGGTTTGCTTACACTCATGGAGCATCCGCTCTATTTCCTATTGAGATTATTGCATTTTACTCTGATATTCCAAGTATAATTAGAGGTAGTCCATTAGGCCGGGTCAGTTTGATTTGGTTAAGATGTCTGTCGGGTCGGACCAATTTAAATAGATTTGTTAGTTCCATGACTCAGAAAAGCTCTACTTTATCATAAGTAGGAAATGGAAAGTATAGATGAACCAACGAGAAATCTGTTGGTTTGCTAAAGAAGAGTTGAGTTTGGTTCACTTTTCATTTGAGTTTGATCTTTCTCTGGTCTTTTTCAAATCCAATAGTCTTTCTTATCTTGCTCGACATAGTTTTTATTAAACTGCCTATTTTGAAGTACCAAAAAGTTCAGCATTTGATTTCAGTGAATTTGGGGCGGTTTGAGCGTGACATATTTTAGACGATGCTAATCATAATTAAGGAGAAATCGCCGAAGGAGTCGCTGATACTCGATTGAATTTTATGCAGACTTTTGATCACATGTTGCCGGTGGTGGATCCCGACTTTAGGAGCGACACGAGCTCCTCTTCCTCGAAGATTTTGCAAGCTACTCCCCCTAAGCTCCTCATCAATTCCCTCATCTCTCTCTTCTCCTCTCTCAGGCTTAAGGTCCTTTCTTTTATGGAATGGATCAGCAAGAGAAGGCAAAGAGCGACAGATTCATCAAGAAACAGAGTGTTGATGGTTTTCTTTATGCAAGCTCTGTTCAGCATCCTTTCTCTCACAATTCTCCGGCTTTTTGGCTATAGATCCACAACCCTCGTGCAATTTTTTGATGTATTTTCTGCATTATTTTATTTGTTTTTTGTTTCCTTGTATGAAATCAAGATTTATGGTTCCTCATGATCTCCTGCTCAAAGGGTAGGTTGGTTTGTTTTTTCCCCAGATACCCAAAACAATGAAAAAGGAAAATAACCTTTTTTTGTAACTTCAGATCTCTGGAGAAGTTCATTTTAGGTAAATCTTCCTAGAATAGCAAGTTTGTTCATTCAATGTGGTAAAGAAGCAAGTTAACTTCTGCCCATTACCAGGTTTACCAGAAATCGTTACTTCACTGGTGAACAGCAATCTGGAACGCGTGTTCCGAATTGCGAATCCTCGGCAATCTGGAAAGCCAAACCCGGCATTCAAATCAACTCGCACTAATCAAGACAGAAAAGGTAGAGTAGAGATACTTATCCAACTTAATACTGATTAATACTAACTGGATATTTGATCTTTAAAAACACTCCTCGTTAGAGAATTTCGTTCCCATTAATCATTTCTAAGAAGTCAACCCCACTGTACCCGCCCTTGGGACACAGAAAAATCCATGGATTGGATCCATGATCCTCTCACGAAACAAGGATCAAAAGAACAAGGATCTATGGCAGTTGCTGTGTTCTTTCTTCAAAAAAATAATTGTGTTATGGTCATATTGTATTCCAGGTCAGATTTCGATGCAAGCTGAGGTGAAAATGGCAAAATACGCCGAGGCCGATTCGTTCTTTTGGCATGGATAGTTAACTGCTCAGCGCAGACGATAACTGATCAAGCATCAAAACTGAACTAAAGCCATGGCTGTCCCCATTCAAAAATAGCCTAAAAGGATGGCGACCAGTTTTGTGCTCGAATAAAACCAAGTTACATGGTAATTTCTTCATTAAAAAACATGAAAGGAAAGAGTTCAATCAGCTCTAGCAGCTGTCAGCTCCGCATAATCCTAACTGGGCACGGTGGGGGTGGGGGATGGACACTGGACAAGAAATGGAGTGAACTGTTGAGGAGAATGAGAAGAAGCCGACATGAAGTTTTGGCTGGAAAGTGAAGTGGGGTCAAGAAAATATTGGCCCATGAAGATCTTGAAAGACAGAAAACTTATCCAAAAAGAAGGGTTTTTTTCTCTATCCACAGCCGCCAGAAATATGATTCGCCTTTCCTGCACCTGACTCTCCTCATGATTCCAAGTATCTTTTACCTTGATTTTAGCCTAACGGAGATCAATATTGATGAGGTCCCCAATATAAAAAAACATTAAAAAAAAAGATCAATCAATATATATGATCCTAGCAACTACAACCAAATGGCTTGGAAATAGATCGGCAAAAGGACGCTATAAGTGCCATAAGTTGTGTACGGAGATCACTTTGGTACCATAACTTTTTTTCGGATCACTTTGGTGCCAAGTCGGAGGAAAAGAAATCACTTTAGTGACTCCGGCCAAAAAAAGAGCCACGTCGGAATTCTAGCGAGCCACGTCGGATTTCTGGCAAGCCATGTCAGCATCGGAAATTAATAAAAAAAAGAGCCACGTCAGATTTCCGACAGCCATATCAACATTGGCACTAAAGTTATCGTTTTTCAAAAAAGTTGGCACCAAAGTGATCCGAAAAAAAGTTATGGCACCAAAGTGATCTCCGTACACAATTTATGACACTTATAGTGTCCTTTTGCCGAAATAGATCTTTGCAAAGTCAACCCAGTTCAGTTTCTGCTTCAGAAGAGGCAGTGAAATTGCTGAAACTAATGTTGCTACTTCAAGATTGCTGGTCACACAAAGGTAAAAGTCGAGCGTTGAACCGTTAATGTAGAAGTTTAAGCTAATAGAAAACATTTGATATCTTTGCAATCTCCCTCACGTGAAGGTAGATTTGATGATATAGGTTTACAATGGGACAAGAACTTGAGATCTCTTGCTTTCATATCAAGATGAAGTTATAAATGTTACTGAATATTCGAAAGTTTGCATAGCTGTTTGTTGCCGTTACGCGTGATTGTTAGACCCGAGCACATATATTTGTATTTTGACATTAAAGTGATTTCATAAGTTTTTTTTTTATTATTACAGATTGTTCTAATTGATACGTAAATTTGGACGTCTGCAGAAATTTGCTATTTGTTTAAATTGATAATGGTGTGTCTTTTTAGAGGAGTAATGATATGTTTAGTTCCTAATCCTGTTCGCATTGTTCATTATAATCCCTTAACTTTTTTTTTGCTTAATTAAGTTAATGTGCTCATTAAAAAGTCCAACAAAAAATTTTAGGGTTAATACCACCAAAAACTCTAAACTAATATACTTGTGACAAATTTACCCCAAACTAATTTTTTGACCACGAAAAACGGTCAAACTGGTACACATGTGACAATTTTACCTTTTGTTAATTTCCGTTAAATTTTACCGTTAAATTTATGAATTGGATGACACGTGAAAGTTGACGGGCGTACCAATTTGATGTTTTACCCTCCATTTGTCACAGGTGTACCATTTTATAGTTTTTCGTGGTATTAATCCAATTTAACGGATGGTAAATTTGTTGCAAACATACCAGTTTGGAGTTTTTTGTTGTAAAAAAATTGGTTTAAATAAATTTGTCACAAGTGTACCAGTTTGGGGTTTTTTATTGTTAAAAAATTAGTTTGAGTTAAATTTGTCACAGATGTACTAGTTTAGGGTTTTTCATGGTATTAACCCAAAAATTTGACCTAATAGGTAAAGAGAGACAACATGAAGATAAGACCCATCGAAATCCTATAAACAAGCGATGTGGGATTGATACTTTAACACCATTCTCACATGCAAGTTAGAACGGGAACAACACATGGAATCAACAAACCAAGAGCCGCACATGCCTAATAAATAGAGGCGGAACCTAATTTTGTTACCATGTAAAATTTTGTAATATCACAGTCAATTATTCTAAAAATTTAAACTAATAACTAAAGGAAGACTACATGAATATAAGGCTCCTTAAAACCTAGTAAAATAGGGATATTTTACGGAACTTTTTCAGATTCGGCTTAATATGGTCCTTCCATTCAATGGAGTGGAATGTAGAGGATATTTGCTTCCCTGGCATGCCAACTTAAGAACTATGCGTTATTTATGCTGTGGGGTCTAACTAAACTGAAGATGGATATTTTCAAAAAAACCATTTTTCTTTGTTTCTTTCCTTTTTTTCTTCTTTCTTCTTCTTTTTCTTCCATACTCTGCATCGCCGTGCCGTGGTTGGCAGCTTCGTCGTTGCCAGCCACTACCACCACCACCGTCACTAGTGTTGTCCTGTTGTGCATCGCCACGATGGTCGCCAATGTCGACCCTATGTGTGCCGCTTAACCCCGCAATGCTCTCTCTCTCTCTCTCTCTCTCTCTCTCTCTCTCTCTCTCTCTCTCTCTCTCTCTCTCTCTCTCTCTCTCTCTCTCTCTCTCTCTCTCTCTCTCTCTCTTACTAATTTGGTGGAGACACACACCAAAGTCACCTGAGTCACACAACTACAGATTGGAGTCGTGAGATCAAGACTTGGTGCAACCTCACATCGGAGTCGCTCAACTCAGTTCACTGGTGACGACCACCATCGAGGTCGACCATAGAGAGTGAGTGAGAAGCGCGGTGCTAATGGTGGCAAAGACAACAGCTCGTTCCGGTGGCCAAGGTGGCGATGCTCGAGTGTGGCGGTGGCTGAAGGAGGGTTTTTTTAGAAAAAAGAAAATTGATTTTGAGTTGAGAGAGAGAGGAAGAAGAGTGTTGCGAAAAGAAAGCAACGGTACAATAAGGGAAACAGAACAAGAAAATAAATCGAATGTCAGATTTACGTAATTTGGTAGGTGTGACCTACGTTCACGGGAGAGCAACACATAATTCTATTATTGATCAAGCAATGCTACGGAAACACTCGAGTCACTCAAATGTGGTCAGTGTTTCTCAGTTCTCAATTAACCCAATAACTCATACGGTATTTAGCTCTCACACTTTCTCATGAAATAATTTATTAATCTCACATAAGTATTACACAAATTTTAATATAAGATTTTCACGGTTTCAAAACACTTTTGATTTCGGTCGCTTCTTGGATACTCTTCAGAAAGTGGACATTTCTTATATACAAGAGTTGGATCGAAAACATGAAACCTACTCAAATTAGATAACCACTCAAAAAAGAAACCAATTCTAACTAGGAAACCTATTCAAATGAGAAAATTTTTCTTTTCGTACTCAAACTCAAACTCAAAACATATTTTTAATAAAGAGAAGAGTGAGAAACACATAAGACGTTAGTGTTGTTCATGTTATTCGCATAAGTGTCCACGTCAATGTATCGACGCCATTTATGGCGGGGACTACCGCATCCACAGTTTTCGTTAATCCATTTAACAAAAGTATGGCATCGAAACAAATCTTAAAAGTGTAAAAACTAAATTGAAAAAAAAATTCAGGACGATATTGGACAACGAGGAAATGTTCAGGAGTACCCACCCATTGTCGTGCTTTGTGACTACACGAGAGATAATCTAATTTTCCAGAAAACTAAACTTTTCCGTCCCTATTTGCGTTCACTCGACGCAAACTTTAGAGCTTAGCATAAATCAGCAATTACACTGTCTGGCGTAGCTCTCTCTTTCATTCGTTTTTTTTTTTGTCTCACTCCTCTCTTTAATGTACATATATGTGCAGTGCTCACAACGTTCGAACCTCAAACCCGGTACTTTCCAACTCCACCTTCTCAATCCCTTTTCCAGTATGGTCAAATGCCTGTTCACTCTCTGTCATTCGTTTAAGCATTGAGGGAAGCTCTCCTCTTTCAACTGCCATCAGCAACTATTCCCCGTGATGACTACACTTTTATATGAAGCAATTTTGGAGGTAATCAATATGTGAGGCCGAAGGGGCAAAAAGCCCAAAGGAATCCAAATGGGCTCCAACGCTACCAAATAAATGCCTTTTGATCCCAATTTCACAAGACGGGCCTAACCCATGAGATTCTTGACCCGGGAAATCACCGGCCTTGGTGGACCCAAATAAGACGATATACGAAGGTGGGAGAGCTGGGCCGGGCCCGAGGTTGGATCTAACTTTGTTATCCAAGTCTTGCTCATTAGGGGTGTGCAAAACGGAC